CTGCTCCTCTTTCTGTGCTTCCCTCTCTCTGGCTGTCTCCTCTGACTTTGACTGGAGTTTTCCTCCAGAGAACGGATTTACATTTTGATCATAACTGTAAAATTGTGTCTACTTTGTAAATCACTTTGGATAAAAGCGTTTAAATGCAAAAACAGAAACAGAAACCTGCCATCAGACGTCCAAAGGAGTTAACTCACCCTCACGAAAGAAGAAATGATAGAAAAGGCCTCCAGTCACAAGAACAGCAACGAGAACAGCAAGAACCGAGACGACTGGGATCCAGACGGGAAACGGAGCTGTGGAGAAAAAGACCATGACTGTGTTGTTGGCGTCTTGTCAGGTGAATAAATGGACCTACATCCCTGAACTTTGACCAGTATGTACAGACATTTCCTTGACCTTTGTCTGCAGCTTTGACCTTTGACTTAAATCTCTGAATTTTGACCTGTATATACGAACATGGTTTTTTTTCTGTATCTATGGCTCTATCTTCTGACCTACAGCCCTGACCTCTGACCTGTCCTCAGACCTCTGACCTTTGACCTGTAGCTCCACTCTCTGTCTCAGGACGTCTGGGCCTGTGTGGACGGTGCAGACGTAGCTTCCTGAGTCTCTGACTGTGGGCTGTCTGAGGGTCAGACTGAGGTCTCCAGTGGTCAGCAGGTCTTCCTTCATCTCTGTGCGGCTGCAGTAAACATCGTCCTGTATCTGACTCAGCTTTGGAAACACATGGACTACCCTGGGAGGCTCAGAGAGGGTCCACTCCACTGTGGTGCCTGTGGGGAGGCCGGCTGCTGCTCTGCAGGGCAGCAGGACTGACTCCGCCCCCTCAGTGGCCCCCACCTCCACTCCCTCATTGGCTGAAAGGACAGCACCATACAGCAATAATGAGCTGAAGGTTCCGACCCAAAACCTCTGACCTGCTGCCTGCTGCTCACCTTTGACCTTCAGCTGAACTTCTGCAAACTTCACCTCTGTGGTCCCATCACTGATGGAGCAGGAGTAGCCCCCGCTGTCAGACTGCTGGGGCTTCATCAGGGTGAGGCCCAAGTTTCCTGTCTGCAGAGCATCAGGATTCATGGCCGTGCGTCCTCTGAAACGCTGGTTTTGTTCTGTCAGATCGTCTTTTTCTGCTCGTTGCAGGTGGACAGATTTTGGACTGAGATCTTCACGGGTCCACATGAAGTGGGGGTCGTCTTTAGGAGGAACACCGTTGAATTCACAGGGCAGCAGGACTGACTCCGCCCCCTCATGAACCTCCACCACTCCCCCCAGAGCATGCTGGGAAACTGAGGACACAAACAGACAGTCAGCTGTCTCTGACCACAAAAAAACAGCTTTCAGTCAGAAACCTGAGCTTCAGGACCTTCTGAAGAAGCTGGAACGGACTCAGAGCCGCTGGGCGGTTCAGACTTAGACCAAGTCCACTTACTGCCCACTTGGACCAGAAGCTGGAACCACTTCCAGCAGATTCAAAGACAAGGATCAGGGTTCCTACCAGAGGCCGAGGATCAGCCCATTATATCCAAACTGTTCTAAAGAAGCTGATAGCTACGAATGCTGAGAGAGCCTGAAAACCTGATCAGCTGCTAGTGGGATGTGGACCAGCTGGATGTGGACCAGCTGGATATGGATCAGCTGGACCAGCTGGATGTGGATCAGCTGGATGTGGACCCCCCCCTTAGAACACCACCAGAGGGCAGAAGCAGCAAAATTCTGAGCGGACGCAGGTGAACGGCTGTGAAAGCCTGAGGAAACGGAGCCTCCTCTCTCGAGGCTGCATTCCTCAGATTTGTCTCAACAGGTCTGAGCTTCCCGCTCTCAGCCCCCCCACCCCAAAGCCCCCCCAGCATTCCCAGCGTTCCCAGCCCAGTGAGGAAGAGGAGCTGGTCTTACCCTGCAGGAGGAGCACAGCGAGCAGCAGCGTCTCCATCAGACCGAGCCTTCAGAGTCCTCAGGAAAGCAGCAGCTTCCTGGTGGCCTCGGACAGCTTTGGCTCCGCCCACCTGCAGGAATCTGCTCTCCACCAATCAGCTGCAGGCTCGGCCTGTGAGGAAGGAGGCTCCGGTTTACCTGCTGGACCGGTCTGTGCAGCTCCAGGTGGAATGCTGAGCGTTTGGTTTTTAACAACCCCTGTTCAGATTTATGGAAACAGAGTTGTACCCTGAGAGCTCTGCCCGAAACTTTTGCTTTGCCTGTCAGGGTGAGAAGCCTCCTTGGATCATCCAATACTGCTTTATTATTCATTCAAGATTTATTTTTGTTTCAGAAGTAAGATGGTTAATGCCAAACCTGACCGGGGAGCAGGACAAGAGAAAAATTCCAAAAAGAAACCAAAAGATTTCTAAAGAAATTTTGAAGGAATGAATGTAGATTTGGATATAATGACAAATATTGGTCATTAGTTTGTTATAAAAACTGTTTTACATTTAGGTCCAACAGCATAGAAACCTCCCTCTCAGCTCCTCCTCCCTCCAGAGTAGGAGTGTACCTGGATCCCAGAGCAGGTATTCTGTCCTTCTACAGCGTCTCTGAAACCAGGACTCTCCTCCACAGAGTCCAGACAACCTTCACTCAGCCTCTCTATGCTGGACTCTGTGTTTATCCTGGATCCTCAGCAGAGTTCTGTAGTTTGTAAGTTGTTTAGAGATGTGACAGAACTGTGTATTTAGATTAATGGGTTACCAAACTTAACATTAATCAGAGTTTTGTTTCATCTTTCATAACAAAGTTTTCCATCTTTATTTGCCAACATCTTTTTGTCCACCAGAGGATGCTATTTGCTGATATATTCCACCGTCCAGCTCCTGTCAGTTAGCAGCTTTTATCCTCTGTTTTCAGGCCTATGAGGAACTTATCAGGACACTCATCAGATTTATTTTTTCTTGAATTGCATAAATTATACTTTAGATACCTTTTTTCAACTCCAGGACAAAGGGAAAAAATGCTCTCATAATATCAGCATTCTCTCTCTTTTTTTCATATAATCTGCATTGTTTTAATAGGAGAACATGATAAATCTCCTAATTTTTCTTTTAGTTTATTTTTAGGGATAATGGTGGGTTTAATAAACACAGAATATAAAGCTATTCTTCCTTTTTAAAATTGAAACTGTGTTATTTTATCTGGAATAACTCTCATTATGTGTAAGGGAGACTATGTTTCTTATTCAAGGCTACAGACACTGAAGTTGCCACTTTTGCTTTAAATTACATTTAACTTGGGGATGAATTCATTTCTAAAAGTCACTCACTTTTTTTTGTTTTACCTTTAACTCTCAATATTTGGTGTATTTAAAATAAGAATAATTACTTCAACTTTTTCTGTAAATGAGGAAATTTTAGATAAAGTTGATGAAAAGGTTTCCACTCCTGATGAAGCTCACAAAGAATTTCACTTGTAAACATCTCTTGGCAGTTTGTATCTGCAGGTTTTGATATGGTGGTTAAATGTGGACAATCTTCACCATCAATAAAAAAAAACACATTTCTATGGGATTGTTGAATGTCTTTAGAAATGTTTGGAATGACCTCTTACTTCTGAAAGAATAGCAATAATTATTATAACAATAAGCCTAAAAGGCTGACAATGAACATATTTAGTTTTTCTGGATCTGAGGTTTCATCTGGTGTATCATTTCATAACATCAGACACAAATCTTTCCACACACATAAAAAGAAAACTAAATTTTTTTAAATGTGTAAAGTTTGCTTCAACATTGCTGTGCAAGGAACATGGATGCTGTTCTGCATCAACCCCCTCTTTCAACTATTTTCCTTTATGTAAGGATTTGAATCAACTCAACTGTGACCTTGTCTCTCACAGTAGAAAGGATCTCTGTGTCCACCATAAAGTGCTGTTGCTGATGGTAAACAGTCACTGACATGGTGATGAGGCTCTTCTTCTGCTTGTGTTGAGCAGCTGGCATCATCTCGCCCTGTCAGGTTTCTGCAGACTCCCTTCTGTGGTGATTGCGGTGGAGTGAAGAGAATGGCTCGTTGGTCTAGGAGTATGATTCTCGCTTAGGGTGCGAGAGGTCCCGGGTTCAAATCCCGGACGAGCCCTTATGACAAATACAATAATAATTGGAAAAACACTTGATAAACATAACAAAAAAAGCAGTTCAAATGTTCAATCATCTGAAGAGTATCCATCTGATGAAGTTAGAAAAGCTACTGAGGTCTGTTTCAAGAAGAATAGTCAACATTACTTGCAATTTCCACTTAGCCCCAAATAAACTTTAATAGGATACCAATAAAACTTCCACCAACAGTGAGGGTCCACTATGGTTTTGTATCCTAAACAAAATCGTTTTTTGGATTGTAACCTGAACATGCAGAGAAAACAGACTTCCAAATATACAGACTTTTCAATTCATTGGTCAGTTATTCTTTATCTGAAAAATACACAAATTGTATCATGTTTTTTATTCTGGTTCCAACAAGCACATCATGTAGATTATAAGGAGGGGGCGAAAAAGGGAGTGCTCATTCAGGATAAAAAAGAAATCAGGATCCCCACTCAACCAAAGACTGACATCACAACGGCCACAATGATATTAAAAAGTGACACCACAATTGACAGAGTTCCATCAGTTCCAACAGTGACACCGAACAGTGACATCACTATACAGACAAGTCAAAACATTGTAACATAAATATATATATTATACTAATGGCCAATCCAAGGAAAGGGCTTGAATCACAACAATGAGATATTGTTCAAATGCATCCTCGTATAACTTTAGTTTAAACGCTTTAATTTGACATGGAAATAGCTTTGCATTTACTTGCTGCTTATGTGCATAAAGGCAGACGTCCCTGGGTGGGCTCGAACCACCAACCTTTCAGTTAACAGCCGAACGCGCTGACCGATTGCGCCACAGAGACTCTTATGGGTGAGTTTCGACACACCTGATTTGTATGTTGTTGTCTTATGCCCAAAAAAAGGGAAAAGCACAAACCTTTTTCGGCTGACAGCCTTTTTCACATTCCTGTTACTTTATCAGACTTCAGCTGTCTTCTAAAATGCTTCTTCTGTTCTCAGCTGGTTGGTGGGGAGTATAAGATTAGAATTCACGCCTGGCAGATGGTTGCCATCACCTCTGTCACTGAGGCACATTAGCACTGCGTGTGTTTATGCTAGCAAAAAAGAAAAACTCAATAAAAACTCAGTGTTAAACTGCTTCAGAAGAATTCAGTTTCCTTCTCCTGTTTAAAAACGCACATCATTTATTTCTGTCAATACCAGTGTACATCAGAGATTTCTATCTTTTCAAACTGAACTGTAACAGATGTTGTGTCTTCTGAAATGACTGGGGCTTGTTCAGGGACCAGTGTAACTGAAGGCCTACAGTTAGGATTGACAGTCTCTGTTCACAATCCCTCGGTGTCTTAGATGGTGCATAGAGGTTTTACAGTGATCACAACACTTGTTGCTGATTTGTCTTCCATTCTTCTGAACAATGTAGGCATTGGTCCATGATGGGGAACAGCACCAATGCAGACTTATGTCAACTTGTGTAAAATTATTATTGTTGTGAGGATATGTGCATCATAACTCAGTCCATGAAGCTAGGTCTCAGAGAAAGTCTTCTCATACTTTATCTCTTAATGTTTTGTCTTGAGGACTGTTTGGTACAGGTGCAGGTTTCTCTATGATGGAGACAGACTAATCCATGTAGGTTACTCTGAGATGTGATAAGAGATGTGTGTTTTTACTGTTACCATAGAGATGTCACTGTGTGATGTCATTGAGGCCTTTGTCATGTTAGCCTTTTGTTAGAATTTGGCTATAATTACTCACTTTAGCATTGTATGCTATCACGTGATTTATGTAAATTACTGATTGTTTTATTTCCTAATAGAAATGTATTTTTGTGTTGAAGTCTGGCTGTGCCCACAAACTCTTCCTTTCTCTCTTTTTCTCTCTTTGTTGCATTAGATCCACCTTTAGGTCAACACACACACACACCATTTGTTACCACATTCCAGTGTCATCTGCATAAATTAGGACCTGGCCTGTTCATGACCTGAGGTAACTAGCCAATAAGACTTGGTTATGTCCAGTCCTCTTTTGAAGAGGCGGACAGAGCCCAGGAGATAATGCCCATCTCACCCAGATCTCAGGGCTCTTTGCCCACTGAGTCCCTGAGAGAGGTTTTCGTCTGTAAAGAGCCCAGCTGATATACTTTTCCTGTGACCCAATAAATGTCATTTTTATACTTTTGATCTACTCTGGTTTATTCTCAGGTTTCCAGCTAAAGAATCGGGCTAACACTTTGATGTTTCGCTTAACATTAAATGGTAATAGTAAGTGGTTAAATGTCCCACTGCTCTTCTTTATGAGCTGTGGGACTTTCTGCAACCTCAACTGGGACATCGTGTTCCTCTTCCAGCCATCTAAGCTCATCCAAAGACACTTCTGCTTGAACTCTGCCACCAACCAATGAGGTTTGGAGAGGATTTAGGACATGCCCACCACTACATATTCACCCTCTGGAAGGTTGGGGGATTGAGCCCACACTGGGACATCCTGATTTATGCACATCAGCAGCAGGGTAATGTAAATCTATTTCCATGTTTATTTCTTAACCTTTTCAGGTAACTGCAGGACATTTTATGTGCAGGACGCATTAAAGCAGAGTGTGAAATATCAAAACAGCTATTAAAAGCATCCTCATTTATAACCCAATTCTGACATTTAGATAGGCAGAACATCTGAACCACTTCCTGCTTTAGTGACCACATTTAAGATCGTTCTTAATTTCTGCCAGAAGTTTTACGTGTAAAAAATACAAAGACTCGAGAGAAAAATAAAAATCCAGTTAAATTTTATTTCAAGAGAAAAGCTGCTTTTGCAGAAAAATCCCACTCGGCACAAACATTTGTCGGTATGAGCTCAGCTCATACCGACAATATTCAACATTATAAA